TGATATGACGAGAATGCTCGATCGACTAGTTGTCGCGTACGAATTATCTCAAATCAGGTAGTATACGATCAAAGAAGATTATTTTTAAAATCAATAGCCAGTGTTTGTGAAAGCTAAGAGTTTAGACATGACATTGAACATCCTGCTCACAAACTGCATTTCGCTGGTATTGGTGCTGGAAAACGTGCTAACATCTTATTCGATGAGTGGGTTTAATTGTCGGTTCTTCGGTTCTTCTTTTCAAATACTGGCATATCCATGCTTTGTTCTGTACAAGTTCCTATCTTGATTATGATCCATTAGGGCAGTATCGTTTGGTTGGGCTGTCACGAAAGTACAGTTTTAATAGTCCGTAGACTCCGTGAAATCTGCGGAGAAAAATTTATATGTATCGATCCGAAGAATCCTCAGAATCTGCTGAGTCTGCAGATCCCGTGAAACCCGAAGAAACGCGCAGAGGGGGCCTGAATAGTCAATTTTTTCAGGTCCTCTGGGTGATTTCGCCGGTTCTTTCACTAGCGCAGGCTCCGCCGAATATGCGGATTCTTCAGGACATTCGTTTACACTCTCTTTCCACAGATTCTGCGTTTTCTGCGGAATCTCTTTGTATGAAGTGGCCTAACAACGTGGAAGGCTTGAACTGGATCTCATGCTTGCTGCACTAGTGCGCTTAACATTATGTTTTGACTCATTTCTTTAGCTCACAAACCGACAATCTTGTGATAACCTTTGCTTCACGAATAGCGGACATTAATAGCAGTTATCTTATTGAAGCAGATTTGTATAACCTTTCTTGGATATATTTTCAGCTATTACCAGTCAGTGGTCAGAAAGAGGTCTGAAAAAGCGCAAGCCGATATCGACAACCGTCATCGAGAGGTGAGCCGTATCAGACTACCGAAAATTTCGTATTTGCTCTTCATCCATGCAGCTTTTGATTATTACTTTACATAGGTCATGGTGAGCCTCCTAGAACAGTACAGTCTGCAGGTGTTCCACGAACAGTGGTTCACAATGTCTGAGATGTTACTCTACAAAAAGCGCGAAGAGGTGCGAAAACAAACAGTCATGAAAGCGCAAGCACGCTCCAGTTCTCAATGTCTGAAATTGTTTTGTTGTTTAGGATACTCTCAAATATAGTAAGAACTCGCGAGATCTTCTGAAGAGCATGTTTCTGGATGGCAAAATAGTGTTGACCAATTCCGATTTGAAGGAAGTGATGAACCTTCTCAATGTAGCTGGATTACAAGGTTGTTTCCTTTCAAACTGTTTTCTTTTACTTCCCAGATTTTTTTGTGGTACTTTCAGTGGAGGATATGAAAATGGAGGTAATCGCACCAGGTGCTTTGGGTGGTGGCTCCCCACCAAAGCTCACGTCTGAGGAGATGCGTCTTTTACAAGAAGTGATCAAGCGACAAATGGACGATCTTCGAGACATAAAGCGCATCACGCAGCGAGAACAAGCTTATGGCAATCTTGTTGAATAGTGAGAGAAAGCAATTATCAGGAATGGTCTAACGTTTCAATAGTTTTTTCGAACCGGGTCTCGATTTCTAAGACAGGGGTTAATCTTGTTCTGGCTTCAAAAAGGAAACCTCTACTTTATTATATCGTGCAATCGCTAGTAGTACTGTCAGACAGTGTCAGTATTTTGGTTCCTTTCAGTATTCTAAGCTATCCCTTCTGTGAAACTTTAGATTTGTTCTCGTTATATATCTAGTAGGGTCATTATTTGCTTGAAGGCAGGGCAGGGCGAGGCGCGGGGTTGCTGTGACGTCAATTGAGTTGGAAGGGCTGTGAGAGCGCGCGATTGTCGGTCCCCACTCAGTCCTTCCCACCTGATGACGCTGGCGCGTAACCGCCCGTTCGCACCCATTCTGGGCTTACTGCCTTCGAATACATATTCGCACCACATTACCTGATAAGTAGAATCCCACCCCGCATATGCTAAGGGCGCCTGCTTAACAGTCTCACAGCGTTATTTCCCACTCATTATTCGGTTCGAGAGTGAGCGAGGATGGCCGCTGGGCAGCGTCAGGAACGAAGGCAACCTTCACCAGTGGAAGTGACCTCATCTTCCGAAGGTATGGTTCAATCCGTGGACGTGATATGCCGGCGGTCCCATGTCTGTAGACACAGATATGACCACGCGTCCTGTTCTATGAAGTTTATGCGTTTCTCATTTTTGTTTGTGGTCTCTCTGCACTCAGTGGACTTTCGTTTCTGTGCAATATACTTGTCCAATCCTGGGGCTTATTCAGGGTGTATCTAGAAGTGTTTTGTCCACTTTCTTTTCCCAATAGTGGCTCATTTAATGTACATGTACAATTTATATATTTGTGAATCCCAAAGTTTACGAACTGTAAATTCGCGGAATGATGTGTTGTTTGAATTGCCCCTTTTTACTGAATGGAGCGCAAGTATTCCCTCCTCCCCCCATCTTCACTCTAGGCGTAGCAAGGATGAGTGCTCTGTATTTCCTCGATTATTCAAATTTATTTCCATTTATTCTATGCGATTTTTATCTATCACTTCTTGAAGATTTGAATAAATTTACCTTAAATGGCTTCATGATTTCTTGTCTTGTCAAATGGTTGTTTATGTACTGCGTCTGTTTGCATTTTTTCCTTTTTCTCTTTTTCTCAGCTTTCCTCTCTTTAAGTGCTCGCTTTATAAACGGATTTTTCCCTGTCAAAAAGCCCAACAGTAGCTGCTCATCGTTCTTCTTTCTTTACTTCGGCGTAGTACTGGTATCGCAAATGCTAAGGCTTATTTATTGCCACAGTCCATTCATTTTCTGCGCTCATGATTTTAGTATGTCAATTCTTCGGGTTATGCCTTGTTTTTGCTCTGCAGTTGTGTACGACTTCTTTATTGCTTTCTGATATGCAAAGTATTTGTCCGGTCAGGCTCAACTTCGGCCTTCAACATCGTACAACAGGTCGTTGCCAGCTAAGAAAGCTTAATATGCGTTCCATTTGAAAAGATGTTTATTAAATAAACTTTATTTATTTGAGTGTACGTGAGTGCATAGAAGTGGTTAAGACCACTTTTTATATGTTTCGAGCAAAGTGCTCCTGTGAAACTTGCTGTATGATGGGCAAAGTTGTGGGCAACTGGTCTGTAAGATGGAGAACAGAGAAAAGTTACGTCCGTTTGAAGCCCTTTAGAGGAAGATTACTATATGGGTGATGAAGCGCGAGGGGGCGTTAGACAAGACAGTGATGAGGAACTCAGGTGAGAGATTGCATTAACAAACTTGAATCTTTCGGGCGCCCCCTACTGTCGGTTTCTTTAATCGTTAGACTCGTTTCCTAAGTGAAGGGCTCTCTGTAGTGCCTCAAACGTTCAACACTACGAATCAGCGCTAAGCAACGGTCGCTTTAATGAGTCACGATTTAGTTAGTTTCGTGGGCTCACATCAGCGCTGGTCAGCTCATACTTTGCGAATGCGGAGATTCTGCGAGTTGTGAGGATCAACGATCCGACAGCATGTGCGATTCGGGAGGGATTCGAGGGAACCGGCGACAAAGAGAAAATGGAAATCACTGGCCAGTCCGCAAAGCATTTCAAGAATTCGCAATAACGATTAGTCAGCCAAGCTTGATCCCAAGAACCTTGTCGCGCTGGATTATCAAAAGTGAATTGTTGTGATCGATGGTGTATTGTTTTCTATTTCGGGGCGGTTCTCCCAAATGGGGCAATTCTTCCCAAAATGCTGGGAAACGCCCTCCCTGGATTTTCCACATTCGCCAAGCAAGAGCATGGCCTTGCATGAGAATTGCAATCATGCGGAACCCGTTTCTGTCGTGTTTTCGAAGGGTCCCTTAGAAAGTTGAAATGGCTTCAGACACTTCATACAGTCGTTGTTAGTGCAGACGCAAGGGGTGTCGGGAGGGCTGGGTTTGGCGCGGCGCCAGCCCTGTTTTCCACCTGCTGATATTGTTTGCTCGCTCCAGGAGTCGTTGGAAAACGAGCTGGCGCCGGGCCAAACACAGCTCCTCTGGCCGCTCTGACAGACTGCAGCGACAACGGCTATATTCTTTTTCCTAAATCATAGGTTACATTTTCAAACAGATTAGCCGTTATTTCCAGTTCCGACGATGAACTGCAGCAAGAGTTGTGCAAGCTGGCAGGCATCAAGAAAGACTGTGTCCAGAAACGACGCCAGGAAAAACGTAAGTTACACCTGTCATCCTTCGTGCTGCATCTAATTTGTCAAAGAAGTAAGCTTGGTGCCACATACGACAACTTGTCGTGAAATCTTACGTGAAATGATTTCGCATAGATCATCAATTGTAATCAGTCTGCATAGAACTATTTTTCGGGAGCACGAAAAACTCGTCTTTTCCTTTCAGATAAGAAGGCATGAGTATCGTCCTCATTTATCATTTTGTTGCTGGGACGTTCGAGTCACGAAAATCATACCTGCGGGCGGCATTTTCTTGAACAAATGATTTCAAAAGAATCTATTTGTTGGCCTGGACTATACGTGAACAAAGGAGCACAGTGGTCTTCGAACTAATGAATACTTCATGGTCCCTCCGAAGAATTCAGCTCCCCCTACTTCAAACGGATAAACCATTGTCGTACTTTTTGTCGTTCTTCCTAATTTTTATAGGTTGAACTAGAAAAGTAGTGATTTGAAAATGTAGAGTTTTAGAGGACGAAAAGTCTTGACCTACTGCTTGATAAGATACCTTTACACTGCATAGGGTTTATTGGGTCATGGTGTGGTAGCTATTTTATGAGTTACCTGCAGTCTGTGGCCGGAGAAATTTCTATTAATCTTTACCAGTGGTATAGAGTATGTTCATGAAAAGATGATGGATGATGGATATGGAATGTGATTCGCTTGCTTTAGCGGTAAAGTCGGAATTCGAAATGGATATGGAATGCGAACTGGATCAGCTGATCACGGATTATGCTAATGAGCATCTCAGTGGTAACATCAAGCGATCAGGAGCTTCGGCGGCAACTCGTAAAGAGGTGAGATTCGATACAGTGTGTTTCCTGCTGAATGAGATTTAATGTTCATATCACCGTGGCGGAGGTATCACGCTTGCAATGCGCACGGTCGGAGGACCTAATCCCGAATCGGCTCCCGCTTGAGCCAACCAAGCCTTCTACCCTCCGCGAACGGTATCGGATTCGTCTGGGAGGATACGAATTGTACATCAGCTGGCCTCCGCAGATCATTGTGTGGGCCACATAGCATTCAAAAAGCCACTACGACGCTTCTGAATGCAAGATTTAATGCGGGCGCCGCCTTCCAAAATGGGATTGTTTTAGTTGCGTTCGCTATAACTAATGTCATTTGTCTCTTTAGTTACCTAAGATCAAGGAAGTCGAGATGCCTGCGTTAGCCAGTTACAGCGATGAGGAAAATGAAAGCGAGACTAGTCATGACAAGAAAGGTAACATCAATGGCAAATTTGAATTACTTGACAGTGTATCGAATACTTTCAAAACTCAGAGGAAAGTGGAGAGCAATGTGTCCCAACGAAACGTGTGAGACTGGAAGTCGTAGCTGAGACAAAGACGCTACCAAAGGTTGAAGAAATGGAGACAGATACCGTTTATCCTGGCAGTTCTTCAGCTAGTCAGCCAGCCAGCATTGTTGACACGGTTTGTTTTTTTATTGATTGTTTGGGAATGGAGTGCACACCCTGCTCGCAAATTGAACGGGGGTTCGCTAACTTCAGGTTTTGACCCGTTTCGTTGCAGTCTTTTACCACCCAAAAGAATCCAGAGCAGATCAATGCAATAAAAAAAGCCTGCTAACATTTAATTCTAACTCCGCTTGAGGGCAGGGGGGCAGCCTGCCATTTCGGCGTTACTATAAACACAATAGGAACCATCTGTGTGACTTCTATTACAACCCTTTTTCGCAAAATGTTGTGAAAGAAATAAAAACTCAGATGGATTCGTCACCGGTGAAGAAGGGCGAACCTGGAAAGGGTGCGAAAGACGCAGAGAAGCCTGCTCAGGAGGAAGCTGAGGACGAAAATCCGATCAAAAAAGCAGCACGACAAACAATGAAGGATGTGAAGGCGGTCAGTATATTTTTTTGCAAAAAAAACCCAGCAATGATCTTCATCTACTATTTTTTTTTCTGAATCGACAGAAATTGCATCTCTTTTCAGGAGCTACCTGATTTTTACGATCCAGATGAAGATGACCAAAATGAGAAGTGGATGCAACAGCAACGTAAACGAAACACAGGCATCATTGATGCAGGAAAAACTGAGAAAGAGGCGAGGTAACGTCTGACCTACTCTTACCTGCATATGTTTGAACTTAATTCACTAGTTGATGGCCTAGGTGGGAGCCTACCCAGGATTCGAGCACGCGACAGTGCGCTTAGTAGCATGCCACTTGCCACTACACTACCTCCGCCTCAGACATCTAGGGTCGACAAAATGCAGAAGTCAACTAATAGCTGCTCTTGCAGTTGTTGTCGTTGAAATCAGTCGGGGCGGTGTTAGAGACATGGAGAGGGCCACACCATGCAGCCTTGGACGGGCTCATCACACCGTCCGACAACGAATTGATATCTTTATTTTTATTGCTGCTACTATGTTGGAGTATCGGGTCTCTAGTCCTGAAGACAGTTTGATCTGAGGTGACCGCTGCGAAATGAGATTTGCTCACAATACGTGTAGTGAGTGAAAAGTTCCCACTAATGCTGTAGTCAGCGCCTTCCTTTCATCGAAGGAGTCTGTCCTACGTACCTGTCCCCGAAGGGCGAGCTGAACTGTCTACGTAACAGACGGGGTGTTTTTAGTCGTCACACTTGAGCGAAATTGAAATCCCAAAAAGGGATGCTATAGCAAACAGCTCTGCGGAGCGATTGAATATTTTGTCGTGGGCTGTAAATTAGCAAGAATTATTGGATATTCACACGTTCCTACGTTTACCTCTTTAGATCTCGATCAGCGAGCGAAGCGGAACGATTACGAAGAAAAAGAGCTACGAGACGGAGGAAGAGAGAGCAGAACGACTGCGAGTACAGCGCGAGAAGGCGAGATTACGTCGTGCTAAAGAGAGTGAAGAGGAGCACGAAAGACGGCTCGAACAGATGTGGCTCTACAGGCAAGAGCGCTCGTCGTTGGAGACGCCAGAGGAACGTGAGCTACGATTACAGAGAAGAAGAGAAGCTGAAAGAAGAAGAGAAGAGAGAGCAAACGAGAAGGAATTGAGACGGGAACGCAATCGACTGTCTCAAATGAAAAAACGAGAAAGTGAAACTGCTGAGCAGCGGGCTGCTCGACTGGAGGCGAACAGAATTCGGAATAGACTCAATCGCCAGTGTGGCAGGTACAAAACTGGGAAGGCGACCAAATCCGGTAACCAGTCTGAAGGTTCTGCTTAACTATCCTGTCAATATTGCATATGTGTATGGGTGCTTTGAATGGGACAGCAGCTCCAATTTCGTTTCCACTTTCATGTGTGCTTTTACCAAGCAGTTCAGTGCTCGACACTAATGGATCGATTCCGCCTTTTCCTCCTTCAAGTTCACAACTCCAATGGGTCTTCCCTTTTCGTGTCTGTGAAGCTCAGGAAGCATTTCTTAGAGATGGAAAGCCTCACCATTTCGATACGGATGGTCAACCTCGTCACCAACGAACCTTTCTGCCCTCTCCAGCTACTACGAACTGACAAATCCGGACTTACTGATGCTCTTATGAAGCCGCTACCAAAGTACTACTCCTCGATGCCTCCTATGAAGCCGTTACCAAACAACCTACTCCCAAAACACCAGTCCAGAGTTACTGCGGAATTTCTAGAACCTCAGATCACTACGACGAGTTATATGTAACACTGAAGCAATGTGAAGTACATTACTACTTCTTGGAAGATCTCTCTGGAAAAATAGGTAATCACTACTCAGAATCATTCGGGAAGCTGCATAATTTTTTGCATTTGGGGCTTCCGTTCCGCCGGATTCTACGTTAGCAGCGGATTAGTTTGGTGCAGCGGTCAGAGATTCGAAAGCTGCAGCAGACACGTTCTGCATTTGAAAGAGCGCTTTGCCTAGAATACGGACCCGCCCTCGCAGATATCCTCATGAGTTTGAGACCACCCTCTCTATCTCCGAGACTGCTCTCACGATCCTACCTACCATTCTTCCTAGATATTCCCAACTTCCTACCACTTTACTGGAGAAGATTCTCCAGTTTTCTCCAAAAAATTGTCATCTAGGGAGGAGGATGCTTCGAAGCATGCTATTGTCATATTAATATACATAATTATATTCTATATGTACAAATTGCTTACTTGTGATCTAATCTAGGAACTTTTCTGGTTTACTTGGCTTCGCCATGCTACTTCGTTAGCCCCCCCCCCTTCCTCTCATTGATGATTACTCCAGATCCTTTTGGACCTTCCTGCACATCTCATACAGATCCGATTCACTTGGAAACAGGGCACGTCATGTAGGTGGCTGAATACCGCTTCCCTTTTTCTCCTTCCCGAGTTTTTTTTTTCCGGTACGCTCCCCTCTTCAACAAATATCTTGCAAAGCTTTTCCAAAATGTTGCCGTCGAGTGAGAAGGAGGCGCGGGGACGCTTGTCCTTGCGCGCGAAAATCAATTAGAAAAAAAATTTCCGGGCCAAATGAACTTTCCCATAGCCGTATGCGATCCCTCTTAGAGAACCCCTTGATATACCACTAACCTGACAAAGACTAATTTCAGGAATGCTTAGTTACTTACTTGTATTGAATATTGTGCAACTTTAGGCCACGTATTGACGGCAACTCGGACGCTGTACTTTCCTGCCCTGGCTGTATGGTGCTGCTGACAAGAGATTGCCAAAGGCATGAGATTTACAACGATCAGTACAGGTAATTTTGAAATATTTAGTTTAGGTCTCTGAAGGCAGAGTGGTTATGATCATACTTCATCTTTCAGAGCAATGTTCGTCGAGAACTGTCGGGTCGATCATACGAGTATGAAAATAGAAAAGACTGGTAAAGAGAAGCGTCGTGAACGACAGCGATTGCGAAAAATGGGTCTAAACCCTGCTGAGCAGCCGGTAAAGTAATACCCGTAGAATTGCAGTATACTTCCCAAATACTGAGAGATTGTTCAGGATTCTTCGGAGGACATATTCTTGCCAGTGCATTGTGCTGTCTGTTCAACGAACGTTGCTGTAATGGATCATGACGAAGTTTATCACTTTTTCAATGTGCTAACGGGTTATGCATGAGTTTGAACCGTGATTTTCTGAATGAATTTTATAAAGTTTTCTACTTGTTGTGATGTACTCCTAGGCTAATTCTGCTCTCTGAAAGGATAGATTTAACTAAAAAGAAGCGGAATTGGCTACCTGGAAAGCTTCTGCTTACCCGAGGGTGGGTAAACTTGGTACTTTCCTTTTTTTGCTTAATTTTGAGTCTCCGTGCAGTCCTATGCCGAACAAAATCCACCACATTACTCTCTCCTAATCTCGGTTTAGTTGAAAAGTTAGTAATCTCCATAACGGTGTATATCCGAATTTCCTCATTTTTTCCCCAATATTTGCTATTGACGTGCTATTTTATCGACATTTGAGAGTTAATTCCAGAAGCAATTTGTTATGTTCCTTACATTTTTTTTGCATTTCCTCTATTTTTTCGAATATCTTCCATACATAATTTTTTATGACATTGTTTGCCTTGCCATTGACTGCTGAAATGCCCTGTTTGTTCTCGGCCCTGATAACCTTTGGGCGGCCATTTCGCGACTCTGTGCAAATAAGAAAGCACCGAGGTGAAGATGAGGACTACTTTACATGAAGGGGGAGGGGGTGGCTTCTGAGTAATGGACCAATTTCAAGTACGGCTATTGAACGCGGAAAACGCTGATCTCAGTTTTCAGCGAAGAGTCCTTGCAGATGCCTTTCTCCAGAGTCATAGATTATCAGCGCTTTTTATTCTGTTTGTTCTTGTTATTTTTCTGTACGGTTACATCACTTCATAAACTGAAATTTTGAGAAGTGTCTGTTACTTTGTGGGATTTTTTTAAGCATCTTTCGGAAAGAAAGGGTGGGTGGAGAATCTGTCATGGGAAGGATGGTAGCTCGAAGTGGCCAGTTAAAATAAGATGTTAAGCATTGTCACTGCGGATGCTGGGCGTGTCAGGAAGCTTTGTTTGGCGTAAAGCCTAGTCACAAATAGTTGAGGCGGCGTAAGTGACAACAGTTGGTGGGAACGGGCAGGAGCCGCACCAAACTCATTGTCAGCCCAGCTGACACGCTAAGACATCCGCAGGAATAAGACTGTACAGCCGGATGTTTTTTTGAATGTTAATTGAAAAAATGGCGTGCGTTTCTTATTGCTGGGCGGACGCTTCTGAATGAAGTCCCAGATTCTTCGGGAAAACGTACTCAGTACGATTTTCCATCTCAGGCAGTTGGCACGTTGATTCGGTGCTCGGCCTTAAATGGGATCGATGTACGTAGAAAGCTTCATCCTTTGTTAGCTGTATGGGCCTAGTAGAAAACTGATTATATACTATCTACTTTAACTTGACACATAAATAAATAAATACTGAGACTGAATACACTATATTTGCTCCGCGTGTCAGTCAAATAAATGGTGCAGCTTTGTGCGTATGTTTGAAGTGGTTTCTTTACTGGGCCGATTAAGCTAAAAATGAAGCTTTCTGCGTTGATCAATCCCTTTTGGGGATGCGACACGCGTCCTCCTTTCATTCAGAATCGTCGAGACATTTGAACGCCATTAGTTAATAATAAGACAATGCCGTCAACTAATATTAGCGTGATAGTAACTATGCAAATAATTGTGGAGAAGATTAGGGCTCGCTCCGTTCGTGAATCGCACTGAAATTATCCTATCTCTGTGAAAGTCAAGTTCTACTTCCTCTTGTGTTGAAAACTGTATTGAATCGCTTTGCAGATCCGTTATTATGTTGATAAGAATTCGACCGACAAAGTCGGAAGTGGGGCATACTTGCAAGTGTTCTTTACGGTGATAGTTTGGATACGCGATACATCATGCTGCCTGCTATTAGACGGTGCGGCGCCCCGATCGGGTTTCACTTCGGACCGACTCCTTTGACGCTGCTTCGCAGACAGTCCCACGCACTGCAAACGGAGTGTTCTTTAACCGCAAAACTGTGTTTAGAACAGGTGGTACTGGTAAGTCGAACTCACTGGAATCTACCTGTTCTTCCATCGCCCAGGGTAAGTCGATAGCGTGTATGCCTGGCTGGGTAAAAACGTGACTTCTGCAGCGGCTGACTTTGTGAGGATATTGCATGGGACAAGTATGTGTCGGGGCACATCATTCGCTTGGCGGAATTAGGTACCGACTATATACGACACTCCTCCCCCCCCACTCCCCCCAGCGCTCTGTCCTTCCTCATCGAATCGAGCCGTCGAGCGGGGATAGGGGTGGGTAAATAGCACCTGTGCAACAGGAAAAGCCGCGAGACAATACGACCCTCCCCTCTAAAATCAGATTTTCCCCAACTTCCTGCCCCTTTTTTGCGAATTTCCCGAAAATTTCCCTACTTTTTACCAAACACTTTGCTGTCGAGCGGGGGAGGGACATATAGTACGTGAAACAGGAAAATCCAACGCCAAAAGTCGACCATTACTGGCCTAAAATGCCAAGACGTAAACTACGACCCCTTTAAGAATATCCATCGAAGAGGGAAAACCACATATCAGAATCAAAATTTTTCTCAGCCCAAATAGTAACCCCTATGGGATGTCCAACACGTTGCCTGTGTATGTGCTCCAATCAAGTCCAGTTGGAATGGATATGAGAAACACGTTTAAGGATGCTTAAAACAAGAACAGCTTATTGTAGTCGGAAATCCTCTCCTGATACTGAATTCGCGCACTACCGAGATTGGCAAAAAGTCTTTTCAACATGTCGAGATTTTTTCTTCCCTTTTGCTATTCATTAACACAGCATACATTAGAAACTAATCAACAATATAGTCGCCTTACTAGCCATTGCAGTGCTTCACCTGATGACCAGGCCAGCGATCTCTTTCTGCCAGAAATGGTGGGACTGCGAGTCGAGGACTTCGATCTCAACTAAATGTGTATATAACCTGTAGGAAGTTTTCTTGGCTAGTTATGGGACCTTGAGGGGATAGGAAGCAAGAATAAAGTCAGTGAGACGCTGTGTCAGAGAAAGTGCGTAACGTGACACTAAAGAGCATAAGCTGTGATGGCACGTGCTGGAGTCTTGCGCCAATCACGAAAATTGGTGATTGAACCTGGTCTACGGTCATTTCCTCGGGACAGTTTTCCCCAGGTATTCTATAGAGCTAGTGACGGGACTGGCACTGACCGTGTGTTGTTAACACGGAAGCAGCCTCGTGTGCAGCTTTCCCTCCGCATCCACAGAAATAAAACTTTTCTTTCTGTTCTGTTTCTGGGACAAAGGATTCTGACGCAAACGAACACAAGTAAATAAAAAAATGCAGGAATGCAAAATTCAGTCACCACGAGGACCTGAACCATTGATATATTGTTCACTGTTCCTTTCACATCCCCAGAAGCGCTCAGCAAAAATAATTCAAACACGCTTTTGGTTCCTCAATTTTCAAAACGACAACGTACATTAGACCACTCCAAAAATTGGGCTCTACTTCTTGGAGAAGCCCTTGTTAGAACAGCATCAAAACCAGCTAATTGCGGCGAACATCTGCATTGGGTCTGGAAAATGCTCAGAAAATTTCACCAATCGCTCTATCGCAACCACGTAAAAATGTCCAACTATTTGGTTCGAATCGCTTCCGCTCAAAGTCAGTTATTCGGCTGATAAAAACACTTTATGACTGAAGTGTGATTAAGATGATTGATGGATTGACGTGGTCTGGGGAGAGAGATATCGAAGGGAAAAAAAAACCGCCCTAGACAAAAATTCAATCTCTCCTGCTTCACCTACTGATCGCACATTTTGTGCAAGACCGTTAAGCAGCACAATAAGTGAACTATGCAAGGTCACATGCTTTAGTCTGCAACAATTCGGAGTTACCACTGACTTTCGCCTTAAAAATGTGGAATTTTAAGGGTAGCCTGACATTAAAGTAATAATAAGCGATAACGGTCTTCGCCGTTGATCATCCCTTTGGTCCGGGATGCGGCACGCTATTTCTACCCTTTCTATCGGATATTTCCCCGGGATGTGGAGTTGGATCTTCTTGAGGGATGCGAGTAACTTGCGCCTCACAGTCAATGTGTTTCATCAAGAAAGCTCCAGTATGTACAGAGTCAGGGTTGTTTTTATAGTTCAAACAGACACATCTGATAACGGCGCGCTTGCTGGATTTGCCATTCCCGGTGCGTAGAACGCTTGGTTGTCCTGGACGGGAGTCGACCCAGGATTACCAATCCCAGGAACCCAAGAAGAAGAGGGGTGAACGCGCCATTTGCACATCCGCCTCGGTCAGCTCAATACAAGAGTGACAAATGAACAGCCTTAGTAGCTAATAAACGAAGGTTTTAGATAAATTCCATGGAGCAAAAGTATCACACATCAGCAACGAAGGCATCTTGTGAGCATCAGTTTTTTCATAGAAGGCTCATTGTTGGCCGCGGGCCGAAGTAGAACGCTCGAAAGCCGCGCGCGCGAGAGTAAGCGCGCCACTTGTCGCTACTACACCACCTCCGCCTCAAGGTAGACTGATTAGTTGCTTAAAATGAAAGGTTTAAAGAGCAGGGTACGCGCGATTTCATCACGCGACGTGGAGAAAGATCGAATGACTGAGTTTCTGCTCACTTTTGATGGAGTCACTGCTATTCAGATTGAATGAGAGCGAACGAGTGAATGCTGAGAGGAGCGAAAGCGAAGCATTGTGGTAGTTTGCAAATGCTGCAGGAAAACTAGAGATTTCAACAAGTCTTAGCGGAGCACGAGCCAGTTTGTCTTCTCGCCGCCAAAAATCAATTGAAAAACAATTTTCCGCACCGTTTTTCAGAAAACAGGCCGGATCTTGATCGGCTTTTTTTCTACAGGGGCAGATTCAGCTGAAAGTTGGGATTTAGGGGTAACTCGACCTCGTGAACACGAGTACTACACCGGCTCCTGCCAGAAACTGCCTACGGGCGCCGTCGCCCAAGGTACCGCCAGGCCACCAAATCTGCTAAAAACTTTAACCGCGGGTAGTTATTGACCTCTTGACACTGGCCCGCGCCACATGGCCGCCCCGGGCGCGGCGTCTAAATGTTCCTAGGTCTAAATTTGC